ATTAATTAATTATTGTATTTGTAATAGATTTGCCAGCGTACCAATGGTCACGACTTAAGCTAGCCAGAGCAAATCTGGACACAATATGTGACCGCAGCTTTTCCTCTCATCACTAACGTGTAATCCTGACTCAGTATTTGTATTTTTTTATCCCCTAAAGCAGTGATCCTCAAATCTGGCTCGCGAGATCCACTTTCCTGTATTTGTAATAGATTTGCCAGCGTACCAATGGTCACGACTTAAGCTAGCCAGAGCAAATCTGGACACAATATGTGACCGCAGCTTTTCCTCTCATCACTAACGTGTAATCCTGACTCAGTATTTGTATTTTTTTATCCCCTAAAGCAGTGATCCTCAAATCTGGCTCGCGAGATCCACTTTCCTGCAGAGTTTAGCTCCAACCCTAATCAAACAAACCTAGCTGTGATTTTCTAATGATCCTGAAGACATTGATAAGCAAACTCAGGTGTGTTTGATTAGGGTTAGAGCTAAACTCTGCAGGAAAGTAGCTCTCGCGAGCCAGATTTGAGGATCACTGCCCTAAAGATTTGGATGTGCAGATTTGTTTGGTGCCAGGTTTTATGTCTTTAGGCTGCAACACCACAGGAAGAATCTTAAAATTCTGAAGTCAAATTCAAAACACAAAAACTGTCCAGAGAGAGAAAAGGGAAAAGATTATGGTCTTGCCAGGTGTTTTCCACATGCTGTGCACAGCTGCCAACCATCTCTGAAAATCCATTTCATTTGATTTAGAGTCTTCTCACAGAAATTAAAGAGATAGAGACTTTGGAAACCAGCACAATCAGATGATCAGCTGCGATCTACGTGAACATTCTGTCTTGCAGACACTTTGCTTACAATCCTATAGGGTCACCCTATTAGGACAGCTGGTGAATTTTTGAACCTCTGCCTCAGTCATTTAGATGTTTTGGTTCAGCAAAAGTGCTGCTATATACAGTAAAACATAATATAAATGAATGGTTGGATAAATAATATGTGAATGTGTATGTTATTTATAATGATTTTGAATTAATTTTAGTTGCATTAGAGTCTAGCAGTTCCTTTAAGAATAAACTTCCTTACTGAGTTTGTAATTTGTGTTGCTCAGGCTCAGCCTGTGTCCAGCTGGAACTAATCTGCCATCTGTGAATCATCTTTATTAACGGTCTGTGCCCACGTGGCCTTGTGTAAAACGATAGAAAACTGCAGCTCATTTTAAAGAAAAAGAGATTTAGACTCAGAGTATAGTTAGTGAAACTTGCTGAACGTGTAGCTTCATATTTTTGATGTTTTTGATGTTTTAACAGAAAAGAGTTAGTGGATTTCAGAGTACACTGAAAGTAGTTCTTAGCTGTAAGAACACTGGTAAATTTAATGGTGCAAACCAACACTGCTTGGTAAACAAGCTAGGTGTTTGCAAATGTTTGGCAATGATCGTACCCATTTACTTTTTATTTTCACTGGATCTTGCCGACCATAATAATTCAGAACCAAAAATTTAATTCCACCTGGCTCCTTGTCAGTGTAGCAGCAGAATGGTCAAACAACTGCTACCATTAATAGTTCTTGATTTTCACAATAGATTAAATATATCTTTATAATAATATTATTATTATAGCATTTAACTATAAAAATAAATGTACATTGTTATTGCAATTGTGCATGTATCTTTATTACTTCCTCAAAAAGCAGAGTGCACATTTGTTGGCATTTGTTGTGGCAAAAACTTTACCAAAAGTATGTGCACAGACGTTCTGATTCAAACTCAAAGAATGATTTTGGTTCTGGCTCACATAATTTCTTCTTCTGTCTTCCCTCTGCTGTATCTTTTTAAATAAGAATGGAGAAAAGGCCCAAAAAATAACACCATACATCACTCATCTAGTTTCGTCTATAAACGCCCATGGGTAGAAGTGTTCTGGCTAAAAGAATATCCAGTAAACAGGATTTTTGTCTGTTTCTTCAAGCATTAATAGTTCAGTACAACAGTTGACCCTGGTGAACAGGGGGAAAAGGAAAGCATTAAAAGGCCCTATAAGGCAACAGGCTGTGTTTTTTTAAAGATGGACTACTCTTTTAAATACTATTCCTGTGATTTGCATTTGTCTTTGTGTAGCAAGTTGATACAGATGGGGAAACTCTTGTTCTTCTCAAAATCAATAGACTACATCACTTCTCCATAATTTACATGTTTAATTTTTTTTTAATTCGACATTGATCTATTATAATTGCACACAGTGGAGCAGAATTTGTCAACACGTCTCTTACTTGTTGGGTAATCGCTGCATTGAATCATGGGCATCAGTTGTTTATTCTCTAGGATTCTGACATAATTCAGCGCACAGTGAGGCTAGTTAATTCAACACTGAGATACAGCAACAAAAACAGGTGTTTTCTGGGCTGAATTAAATGCGTATTATAATATTACTTTTCAGATTAAACACAACAGTAAACATCTGATCTCTCAGGATTGACACCTCACTTTGATCCACCCATCTTAGGTCAGCTCGTTCTCATTGTGTGTAATGCCAGAGAACTTGTTTTATAGTTTTCACATGTCACATGTATCATGTAACATTTAAACTTGAATAGTTGAAAAACTTGAAAAATATGGATCTTTATTGTGCTTGATTCATCTCTTCAGAATTAGAAACAAATGTCCCCATCCAGAACCCTGTTTGCCACAGTAATCTTAACATTACTTTTTCAAATTTTTATACATTTATACTCTACCGCCGCCGGACAAAGAAGAGACCTGGAATATCAACAGAATATGGATTTTAAGATGAGAACTATAATAAAGTTGATGAGAAAACAGGAAACTTTGAATAAGAAAATAATGAGACTGTTAAGAGAAATGGTTGAATATAATAAGTTTAATATTGAGTTGCAAGCATTAACCAGTGATTTAGAAATATTGAAACTTAAAGCACCAGCTCTAAAATTATAGAGGTTTCAGATGTATGTTTGATCACACATTTTGTTCCCCAAATTTATAAATGTTGAAGGCTGGTGGTTTAGGTTGCTATATGTTTTGTTTTCTGAAATGATGAAAAGAAAGGGACTGCATCTTACAATAGAATTGTGAGATGGAATCTCTAACTAACAGTACTAACTTTATTATATTGGTATATGAGTGTGAATTGTGTGGTTGAGACAATGTACTTGGACCATGCTTTTAGATGTGTGATATATATTTTGTGGGCTTAAATAGAGATGAATATCTTTATGATATACTTAGAATCCCTGCAATTCTTCCATTTGAACTTTTGATACTCTGTGCTAAGTGTGATAAAGGTTATGTATCCTGTCTGTGTATGTATGCAAAGAAATGGCCAAATAAGTAAAGAATGCAGGGATGGCTTTGATGATGTTAATGCAAATTAGGTGCAAGCCTATAAAATGTCAAGGAGAACTTCAGACAAGGCCGCACTCCGATGGTGAAAACTTACTCGCTGTTACTTTCATTTTATTACTTATGAGTTACTGTGTACTAATAAAGCGAAACCATTACAAATGGTTCGTACAGAATGTTCATATATTGTGTTTGTGATTATTCCTTCAGTGGGTAGCCAAGGATACAATTTGAGTATAAGGAGAAAAAAAAATCTTGCTTTGTTACATCACCTTCCCAATAAGGAACAGCCATAGCAAATACAGCCTTGGGTCTGTTTCTCAATTATGACTCTCTCACCCTTTTTTCCCCTCTTTGTGCTTTTTCCTTCTCTATGCAGAGGAAAGTAGGAGGTGTGGAAAAATTGGGTGGCTTTTCTCCAGGATTCTCTGAGTTGTGTGTTCTGTCCCAGGCTGGAGTGAGTGGCACTGCTCCTCTGGAGAGCACACAGTCAGCTCAACGGACGAGAGTCTCACAGTAGAGCTCCGGTACATGAGCTTATCAGTCTCATCTCTGCCTAACCCATCCAGAACAGTTCTCAGAAGGGAAAGAAATAATGGTTTTAAAACAATATTTAAAGGCATATTTATTTGAATAATGAATGAAATATGTCTGGAATATATGACTTGGACCAAGACATGATTTTTCCTCGGGAAAAATTAGGCTGTTCATCAGTGACAACATGGCTTTGTTCACTTTACTTCATTTTACATTTAACATTTTTAAAATAAATGAATCATAAAAATACAGTGTTTCAGTTGTTATGACTGTAAGAGCCTGTTAACATAAAAAAGCCTCTAAACAAATATTTCCTAGTTGTGTTTTTATCATATTTGCGTATATGGTAACATGGCAACCAAAACTATACCGTGACTCAATGCGTCCAGCATCTCTGAGACTGATGTGATGGAAAAATGTTATTTTATAGTGCAAAATGTGTCTCTAAACGTTTTTACAGTAGAATCTTTCAGTGTGATTCTGAGTTCAACAGGGAGGGGACATTCTGTGTTGTGGCATATGTCTGTCTACATGTTATGGAATTTTTGTTTGTGTCCAGTAATTGTTTTTTTTTTTTTTTTTCTGAGTGTGGACTGCGTAGTGCTTAGTGGTTTTTACTGGCAAGTGAGGAACATTGATGAGGGAAGAAAACCTTTTAAAATCCTGAAATCTGACAGTTGTGTGGATTTGGCTCACAGGGTGGAAACAGGTCACATAAATCTCAATGTGCCACCAAAACTTTTCCTCTCCTCCTAGAAATAAGCATAAACTGTCCAGAGGTATTTCAGAGAATGTTTATGTTATATTTTATGAGATAAGATGAGAACGCAAACAACCCAATAAAGGACTATATTTAGAATATTGATCATTTGATACCTATAATTTGATGGCAAAACTTTATCAAACTGTGCAGTTATGTCAGAACTGTGGATGAACAGCAGTCATATGTGTTTGTGCCATTACAAGTAAGTTTAACTGAAATAAAGGGATGTACTGTGAGAATTTCCAGATATATACTGTATATAGTATGCTGTACATTTTCCCAAAAACTAAAAAGCAGTTTTGTTGTCTTTTTTCCCAGCTGTCTATTCCGTTGCTCTTGTGGACAATGGGGAAGAGCCGGTTATTACTGTTTGCCCTCTGGGGTGTAATGGTTTTTGGCCTATTCCCAAATCTTGAAGCTCAGGATGGTAAGTTTAGTCCATTATTTTTATTTATTTATGTATTTTTACCTCTCCAGCCCTCTTTGAGATGTAAACATCACGCTATGGGTAAAAACATGTTCATTTTACTGTGCTACGCTCCCTTGACTGGGAAGAGAATTAAGTTTAGTTCGTTATTTTTATTTATTTATTTATTTTTGCCTCTCCAGCCTTCTTTGAGATGTAAACATCACGCTATGGGTAAAAACATGTTCATTTTACTGTGCTACGTTCCCTTGACTGGGAAGAGAATTTAAAATGAGGTATCTTGTTCTTTGAAAAGCTCTATTGTTAAATATTAAGTTTAATTACATATACTTGTACAACAGTAAGTAAAAATAGGAGCATTACAGGGTGATTTTAGACTTGTGTTAAAACAATTTCATGTGTTTTCAAGTTCATGTGAAATTTCATATTCAAGAGAGTGAAGAGAAACAGCTACAGTTTACTGATTTAAATACTTTGAAACCATTCAGAGCAGTATGATGTAGTTTGTTCAGAACCCCTAATGAACAAAAACAACTCAACAGATAACAAAATTTTAAGCTTACACCACCAATCCTGAAGGGTCTCAAGAGCTACTGTCAGCGTCGGGAATGGCCACAGCCAGTTAATATTGACTATGGGTAATTCATGAAAAATTCAACTAGAAATAACCCAATTAACAATTCCCCCACTGTTAACATGACAAGTTTTGTCACAGTCACATTTTCTGCATGCTGTGACTCCTCTTGTGCTGGTTTTAGTGCATTTTCAACAAATAGACATGAGATAATGGATTTTAGATGTAACAGAATTGCAAAACTATCAACATCCATCCAACTGTATTTCTGTCTCTCTGCCATTATCCATTATCCATTCACTTATTTATCCATCCATTCCTGTACTAAATTCTTGGAAAAAAGTAGATTCACTTCAGAAATTGATGCCTAAATTCTTTAGATGACAAGGTATCACTAATTTATGTCTTTGAGACTTTAGAGATCATCAGCAGCTGATGATGGCTAACTGTCCAGCACAGCTTATGTCTTGAGAGCTTAATGTCTGATTCTTTTGTGTTTGTGTGCTGACTGTCTTCACTGTGTAACCATTTAAGTAAAAAAAAGTGTTCCTCCACAATTGATACAGTGATGAATCCATATGTTCTCATCTTTGAATTGTTTACTAAACAAAGGGCATATTTCACTGAATTTAAATATTAAAGACCCCATAAATTGAAGATAAGTTTTGTGCCTTTGTGTCTATGTGTTTTTTTCTTTAGCCATCAATGGTATTTTGTAGTGTGCTCCTAAATTATGATCACTTTTAGCAGATCACTGTATGCATTTTAAATGTACAGCCTCTCTCTTCTAGAAAATAAAGCTAAAAGTATTGATGACTCATTCTATACTACAGACATGTTTGCATCAGATGCTGTCTAGAACATGAATGTCCCTCCCCTAATATCACCTGCAGTCGATTATCAAGGAGTAAATCATGGCTCGTGTTTGTGACATAAAGCTTATTGGCTATTTAAAAATTGGACAAACCTTTCAATATATCCCGGCTAAACAATTTGTTTTAGTAGATACTGTTATCACAAGAAATAAAACCGTGATTGTTGAGTGATTTCAATCAACAATCAAATATGTGAAAAATGCCAGTAAAGAAGTGACAGTAAAAATATTTATGAAGGTCCAAAGATGAGACAGAAGGGTCATGACTGGTGCTGTTATCACTGAATACTGTAACATGAGTCTGCATGGTCTGACTGAACACAAGAAGATGAAAGATTCAATTGCCCAGGCAGCATCTAGAGGTGCCTAAACACATATACAGTTCAGAAACTTCATAATGTACACACAATTACTCACACATTACAGTTAAATACACTGTAAAATAAAACCCCACAACATAATTCTAGGCTATTTAGAGTATGAAAATGAGAAAGTTGCAGGGCATCTTTCTTGTTTCAGCAGACATGCAGTATAATGTGTTTGTGTTGTGTTTTTATGATGGATTGTAATTATCCATGATTATGTTTTATGTTTGGACCCCTCCCCTTTCACCATCCCTCTTTCCTTTTTTTTAACCCACACATTTTGCATTATATTTTGTTTGTCTCTCTGTCCTCTCTCCACTTCTCTTTCAAAGCCTCTGCGACAGCCGACCTTGTACTCTTAATTGACGGATCAGAGAGCGTTGGAGCTGCCAACTTCCCCCTCGTCAGTGATTTGGTGGTCCAAGTGATTGAGGGACTTGCCATTGGCAGGGATGCAATCCGTTTAGCCCTCATGATTTATGGTGCCACCCCTGAGATTCAGTTCTATCTCAATACCTTTGACAACAAAGAGAGTATCCTCAGTGCTATCCGGGGGCTTAAGTACCCTGGTGATTATGAAGCAAATCTGGGGGCCGCTTTGGAGGAGGTGGCAGACAGTCTATTGGGCCAAGATGCAGGAAGCAGGGCAGAGGAAGGGGTGCCCCAGGTGCTGGTGGTGATCAGTGCTGGGGAGTCCACCGATGATGTCAGTCAAGGCGAGAGGGCCCTAAAGCAGGCCAGTGTGTACACCTTTGGCATTGCTGTGGGTGTTTCTGCTACTGCCCAACTGGAAGCTATTGCTACAGACAAAAGCTTTGTTCTGTCTGCTCCTGATGTTAGAACAGTGGCAAGCATGGGTGACCAGATACTGCCATAGATTAATGGGGTCGCCCAGCGCACCATTGTAATTCAAACAGATTTCACAGAAGGTATGTAATTACCGTATATGGGGGATTCCATAGCGAAACTGAAGCGCGGGAAATAATAAATGTACTCAACTCGGATGTGGACCACCACTCTGCACATTTTGTGTGTCTCCCTTATTTAAAACACCTGATTCAGTTCATCAGCCCATCAGGTTAAAGCTCCATGAACTGAGTGTGTCAGATGAGACATACAAAATGTGCAGTGGTGGGTCCCCAGGACCAGGATTAAAAACCAATGCTGTAAACAACATATGCTGTTTGCCAATGAACCATAAAAAACAAGTTTTGTGGTTCACTGTTCTCGTCATGGATTGTGTTCTCTCTAAAATACAATATTTACACTAAATCAAAAGTGTAGCACAGCTTTCAAGTGGAGAGAGTTAACTCTTGTTAATCATTTTTGTATGTTTATATTCAGGATTGTATACAATTTTGGTCATAGCAAATGTCCATGCTTTGAAATGAATTATCACTTAATGCTGATTAATTTCCATTGTTTTACTACATATATGATTAATCTATACCAGCTTTTTGTCAAGCAAAAGAATGGTGATAGTTAATACATTGTATTTGTAAAAACCTTCAAGCTAAACCTTAATTATTCATTTTAGATAAATGATGAGAGCTAACTGTTTCATAGGTTGCCTGATTTTGGTTAGAATTTGCAGAAGGACTAAGCAGAATTCTTCTTTCTCCCCCCCTTTTAGCTTTGGCTGTTGGGAAGAGAGATATAATTTTCCTCATTGACAGTAGCATGGGTACCATCGTAATCAATGCAGTGCGAGAATTCATCAAAAGGTTTATTGACACCATGCCAATTGGTCCTGATCAGGTGCAGGTCGGAGTGGCCGTGTTTTCCACCACCCCAAGGATGGAGATCAACCTCAACTCATTCAGTTCAAAAGAATCACTAAGCTCTGCCCTCGCAAAAATAAAACCCAAACCTTCAGTTGAAGTCAACATTGGTGCTGCCTTGGATTTTGTGAGGACCAACATGCTCACAGCTGAGAGTGGGAGCCGCATTCAAGATCAAGTGCCACAGCTTGTGTTGCTCCTAACCAGTAAAAAATCCAAAGACAGTGTCCAACAACCGGCTGATGCCCTTCTTCAAATGGGTGTTCTGACTTTGGCTGCAGGCTCCAGGGCTGCCGATGAAACTGAGCTCAAGCAAATAGTGAACACTGGTGCAGCCCTACAATATGCCCTAACCAACCACTTCCAGCCCACAGCTGGGTCTCGTGGGAGAGAGGGGATCCAGCAGGTCCTGGTTTTAATAACAGGAGGACCATCTCAAGATGAGGTCAAGATGATTGCAGACCGTGTAGCTTTAGAGGGTGTTTTGACTTTTGCTGTTGGAGTTGGCCAAGTGGAAGATCGTTTCTTGAAAACTGTTGCTTTTGTTGAAAATTTGGCATACTACAGAAGAACTTTTGCTGACTTGTCAAGTGTTGTTGATGAAATTATGACACCACTGGTCACTGTTGTTGGGGAGACTAATACTCCAGTAGGTGAGCTGAAGCACCTTTTCATGAAAATAAATATATACATTAATTAATTAATTGAGGTGATGAGTATCAGTATAAAGTTCAAGAATACATCATGTTAGTCAACATAATTTTTTTGCACCACTTTATTTTTTTTATCACTTACATTGCTTTTCTATTCAGAAATATACAATCTAACACTTATGTTGCAGATATTTAAGCATTTTTTGGTATTTAATTCACATTCTCTCTTTTTTAAAAATCTTTCACAATGACTGAAAAACCAGGTCCCTCTGGTGGAGAAAGGGATGTTGCAT